CCAAGGCAGAGGGAAGGCACAAAGATGGCGCCCGTCAGTCTCTGACTCAGGACATGCGTGTCAGACAGGATGCCTGCCCCTCTCGGGGACGCTCAGTCGTGCACGTGGGGCTCCCCCACATCAAGTTCAGGCACCCCTTCACCAGGGCTTCTGCTGTGGACCCTGGGGTGGCTAAGTTCGAAACATGTGAGCCCTTTAAGAGCGACTTCTCAAATCATTACAGCTTTGTGGGACTGAGTGCGATCCCCATGGGTTTTCAAAGCTAATCATTTTGGGGGTTCATCTCTCAGATACAGGTCTTTAAACTTGAGGTGCCCAATAGGGTGTTCAAACATTTAGCTCCTTAGGGAGAAGTCCTGCGAAGCCCTGCGTTTCGTTCTCCTTCCTGACTCCTGACTGTGGGAAGGGTTTATGGCAAAACTGTGTTCCAGCCTCTTTAGCTGACACATAGTCGCTCAGCCAGTGTTTCTGGGTTGTTCTGTTTTGTTGTTCAGGAGAAGTTGTTCCCCATGTAGCTGTAGATTCAGTGATCTACCAGGAAGAGGGGAGTTCACCATCCTCTTATGCCGACATCTTGAACCAGAACCTGGTTCCTTTCTCCCCTTGGCACTTTTATATTAAAAATCCCATGTTAGTGTAAGGATGATCCCACGCTTTTCAAAATTCGTTGTTGAGTTTTGAAAGACTCCCCTCCAGAATTATAAGAGCTCAACATTCTTAACTAGTAATTACCACTGACTCCCATAAACTCTACCTTCAAAGAGATCAAAGTTAATAAAAGGGTAAATATAATGCCAACTACTGTTTGTACTTAGGCAGGTTTCTAAAAATAAAAAGTTGGCTTTTTATGGTTGTAGGAATATTTCTTTAAATTTTTTACATGTTTTTATTTATTAGAGAGAGAGACAAAGCGCAAGTGGGGGAAGCAGGCTCCAGGCTCTTAGCCATCAGCACAGAGCCCAGTGTGGGGCTCGAACTCATGAACCACAAGATTATGACCTGAGCCTACGTCAGAGGCTTAACCAACTGAGGCATGCAGGCACCCCAATTATAGTAAAACTTCTAAAAATATATTACAGTCTTTTTCTCTTAAGCAGAGACTTATACAGAAGATACCCCTCTGCATCAGAGAATGTTAGGATGGTTAGACCAGAAAAACAAAGACAAAGATAGGGTAAAAGGATAGCCTAACTGGTTACCCTAAAGTCTATTTTGAATAGAAAAGGCAGAATAAATGCATGATTATTTTTTTCTAAAACAGTTTCAAAATAATGAATTCATTCCCTTTTATCTCTCAACAGTGACCAATCAATTGAATTGCTTTAGAATCATTATGAACTTATAATCATATTCTATGTGTTAGAAACAGTTGCAATTATTGTCAATTTTGGATGATCAAAATGACCCATCCTTGCCTAGTGGGAGCCTATTTTAATTGATTCTGCGGTCTTTTTGACACAACCCTAGTATTGGTTGATAGGTTGCTTGCTTTCTGTAAATATTTATAGATAAAATAATATGTCTGGGATTTGCTTTAAAAGGATGGCACCAGAGGGGTGCCCGGGTGACTCACTCAGTTAATCAATGGCCTCTTGATCTAAGCTCAGGTCTGGATCTCAGGGTGGTGAGGTCAAGCCCCCTGTTGGGCTCCACACTGGACTTGCAGCCTGCTTAGAAAAATAAAATAAAAATAAAATAAAATGATGGCACACAAAAGAGAGGTATAGATGAAACCATGACTGGCCATGACTTGATAAGTGTTTGAGCTGGGTGATGGCCGCATGGAGGTTCCTTATACTATTCTCTTACAATTGTATACATCTAAAATTTCCAAAATAAAAAGATTTTAAAAGTTCAGCCTATGACTTTCAAAATAGAACCTTGAAATCCTTAGCAAGACAGCAGTCTTTAAATGCCTGGTTTAGGTGGGAGAAAAGGGATTTGTAAGTTCCCAAGGCTTCTCTTATCAAGCCTAAGTGTACAGGTCTGAGTATAGAGTTTTAGTCAAAATCAGAGGTAGTGAGCTTTCTAGATATGAGGACATTCACCCAGTCTCAGGAAGGCATGAAACCTTCTCCAAGACAGAATTCAGGACGAGGATGGAGGGTGAGGAGAGTGGAAAATGGTGAGCTGAAAGCCCCAAAGGTTTTTCCTTGGGGGGAGGGGAGGGGGTCTTGACAGTTTTGGTGGAGGTCACAGGGCTGACTAAAAGGGGTTTCCCTCAGTAACCTGGTTGTCTCATCTTCTTCCACTCGCTAGCCCAGATTCTTGCCTCTGATCCCCAAAAAGGTGGACTCAATTCTTTGTGGTCTGGGAAATCTTGCTTTCCAAACAGGGCAGGAAAGGGCACTGGGCTGGGAGTCAGCACTTGAACCCTGTGACTCAAAATGACACTGTGTCTTGGGTCTCAATTTCATCACCCATTACATGAAAAGTCAGCCTGTAAGAATCAAGATCCTTCAGCGTCTCAACCTTCCAAACCCTAGACTTCAGGAACCCTGGGCCTGAACACACAGAGCCCTGCAGGCCTTTATGCCTTTTCACTGCCCGCCTTTTCCACCATTACACATTACGTGGCCTCCTAAGAATATGTGACTGCCGTCACTTTCTGCAGATAATTGGGAGAGGAGGTGCCCGGCAGAGATAACCCCAAAGTTGGCAGCACTTTCAGGCTTTGGGAATCAGGCGCGTCACCGACCTGTTCGATTTCTCCTCTCTGTCCTTGCTCGCCTGCAAATCCTGACCCCCCGTCCCCACTGCGGAGAAATCTCCTAAGAGACGGCTGCCGGCGTAGCCTCTGCGCCCAGGAGGCGTGGAGCGGAGGGCGCGGGAGCCGAGCGCGCTGCGGCCACGCTCCCAGCGCAGAGCCGAGAGGGAGGGGCCGGCGGGGGCCGGGCAGCACCGGAGGCGGCGCGCGGGGCTCGCCGAGGCTCAGTCTCCTCCCGAGCCCAGCCCTGGCCGGCGACCGCGGCGGCGAGCGCGAGCCGGAGCCGGAGCCCGGGCCTCGGAGCCGGGAGGCGGAGGGCCAGAGCAGCCGGCGGACCGGAGCGGAGGGCCGCGCTCGGGCCCCCGCCGCGTTCGCGTTCTCCTGGCGGATCCCGGTAAGTGCGGGCGGCCGAGTCCCGCGCGGTCTCCAGGTTTGGCGGCCGCAGCGGTCGTTGTCCCCGGATCCGGTTGCGCGCCTGCCGCTGCAGCACCGCAGGCTCACAGGTGGCTCGGCGGCGGACGTGGGTGCCCCAGGCCCCGCAAGGAGTTAGCTAACTCTCTCCGCTCCGGGGCGCAGTTTCCGAGCCCCTGCTTGCAGCACGCCAACTGCCGTTGCTTCGGCCTCGGAGGCGGGGGGCGCGGCGGGGCAGGGCCTGCCGTCGGAGTAGACTTGGCGGAGGGACGCTCCCCTTCCCCAACCCACCCGCAAACGATTCGGGGAGATGTGGGCCAAGCGTCTTCCCAAGCTCCATCCCCGCTCGCCAGTGGGGTGTCTGTCCTTAGTTTTGTTTTCCTTTTAACCCACCAGGGAAAGTTTGGGACCACACAAGGCAAAGTTGGGGCGCGGCTGGGGGTGCACTTCCCCGGCGGAGGCAGCTGCGGTGGAGCGAGGCGGCTGGTTTGCAGGTGTAGCAGGCTCGCTGGAGCTGATTGTGCGCCCTGGGAGTTGAGTCTGTCCCTGCCGGTGGCCCTGGCTAGGCATTGTGACAATCCCTGGAGCGCTGTGAGTCGCTTAGTCTTTGGTGCTAAGCGTCGACATCTGCAGCCAGCCTAGAATCCCTGTGATGGGTAGCAGCATCTTAGCCTGGTTTGACTCGTGTTCTTGCTCTGCTCTGCAAACCTGAGCTCCAGCTAATCTCCGTGTTTAACTGGCGTGTGTTTAATTCGCTTATTTTACACCTGAGATGATCTCAGCTAGCCTCTAAAATGAAATCGTTGATACAGAAAGCGGCCACAACAGTGATTTTAAAGAAAATTTTAAATAGGAAGCTTCAGAATGTCCTCTGTCATGTCTAGATCTTTTACCCATCTCTGTGGGATAGAGAATGAAAACTGCTCGGATATCTAACCTACTAGAAGACTCAGTGTTGGGGCTATTTTTGGCAGATTTTGTGGACAGAGATACTGCTGCCACTTGTATATTGTTTATGAAATATACATTTAGTCTCTAAAAATTAGGAGGTGTTTGATTCACTATGTTGTCTATTTTACATATGACTAAAGGTTGCTTTTAAAAATAAGCTTTAGCTGAAAATAGTATCTGGATGTTTAGGAAAGACAGTTTGTGTCACTAGAAAATTCTTTTGTAAACTTAAATTTTTAAAGGGCTATTTTTTCCTCATCAGACATAGGAGAGGCTTTTTATGAAAAATAAGGTGCTGAGATCCTTATGTGTACCGGGAAAGAGGGACTATCTCCTCCGACACTCACTGCTTTCAAATGATAGATTAAATCAGAAAAGTGTGCCTTTAACTGGAATTATATAATTGGACTAAAAGAAAACATAATGAATAATTATTGGTTGTCAAGTACTTAGTTCGAAAAGATGGGTTATATCACTGAGAGGTTATTTGTTACATGATTAAAGGTGGGATAAACTGATAGATTTCCATCTATAAATTTTTTATGTTTAACACACATCTACATAGGTTAACACTGGATTTACCAAAATGTTTGAGTTTATAAATACATGATCATAAGTGCTTACTGTGTGCCACATCTTATTCTGTGTACCTCCTCCTCAAACCAGTCCTTGGTGGGAGGTGCCATAATTGTTCTTATTTCTGAAATGGGGAAACTGAGGCACAGAGAAGTTAAGTAACTTACCCAAGGTCAAACAGAGGATAGGACTTCATACTTGCAGAGTTCTTTTTGTAGGAAAGACCTATGATTTGGTGATTTACTTATCCTTGTTTTAATTTTTATTGAAGCATAAATGTCGAAAATATTTCCTGCGAAGCTTAAGAATCCCTGATAGTGAACGTGCTCCACACTCGCCATTGACTATAAAGTGAAGAAAAGTATGAGAGAGCCATCTGGTTAAGTCTACGCTTTGAAGACCACCACATCCACCAGAAGATGGATCTGCACCAAAGCACTGCCGTCACTTTCCTTGAGAAATGGTGTTTGGATAAGTCACTCTCTGGCTACAGGAGACATTATAGTGTCAGGAAAAAACTGAAGTTAATTCGAATCGTGGGCCTTTTCATGGGCCTCGTAGCCATTAGCACTGTCTCATTTTCAATCAGTGCCTTTTCTGAGACAGAGATAAAGAGTACGGAAGAGGCCACGGGTGCAAGTGGCCCTCAGGTAGCACACGGTTACCGCCAAAGAACTCTCTTAGATTTAAATGACAAGATTCTGGATTATACTCCACAGCCACCTCTTTCTCAGGAAGGCCAGTCTGAGAACACGACAGATCATGCCCAAGGAGACTACCCAAGAGACATCTTTTCCCTCGAGGAGCGAAGAAAAGGTGCCATCATTCTCCATGTCATTGGAATGATCTACATGTTCATAGCTTTAGCCATCGTCTGTGATGAGTTCTTTGTTCCTTCATTGACTGTCATCACTGAGAAATTGGGCATCTCCGATGATGTGGCTGGAGCCACCTTCATGGCTGCTGGGGGCTCGGCTCCAGAACTTTTTACATCTCTTATAGGGGTATTCATTGCTCACAGCAACGTTGGCATAGGCACAATTGTGGGCTCAGCCGTGTTCAATATCCTTTTCGTTATCGGCATGTGTGCTCTGTTTTCCAGAGAAATCTTAAACCTGACATGGTGGCCGCTCTTTCGGGATGTGTCCTTCTACATTGTTGACTTGATCATGCTGATTATATTTTTCCTGGATAATGTGATCATGTGGTGGGAAAGCTTGCTTCTCTTAACAGCTTATTTTGGCTATGTGGTTTTCATGAAGTTCAACGTCCAAGTAGAAAGATGGGTGAAGCAAATGATAAATCGCAATAAAGTCGTCAAGGTGACAGCGCCAGAGGCCCAAGCAAAGGTTGGTGGTGGTGGTTGTTGATTTAGTATTCTGAACCATTGTCTTTGAGATCTACCACTTTTTTTAATGGGATGGTGTTTGGGACTGTAGAGCATAGCAGATTGCTTTCTGCAAGTTCTGTGATAGCCAGACTGATAACGGCAGTGGGAAAAAGTATTTCTGGGATATTCTTGTGGCTATCTTTTAAATTCTCAAGCCAGTTGCTTCAGAGTAAAATATTTATGAATATAGGTTATGTAAGTGTCCCAGTGCGGACTCAGCAGTTATTTACGTCTGGAAATACGCATAATGGTTTTGTGAGTAATTTACTTTTCATATGAAAATGTGTGTATGTAGCCTAGAAAATTGCAGGCAATTTTTAAAATAGGCACATGACAATGATCAAGAACTATCTCTTTGAACAAAGACGTTTAAGGAAGAAACTTTGTGTAACCAGTACTCTACCTTTAAGTCAACAGCAGGGCCCAGAAGGGCTGGTCATTAGAGTGGTCACAGCTATTTTTCTTGACCCATGCAATAAGCTTCGGACCACTTGGCCAGAAGCTGATCGCGATCCATGAAAGGGAGTCATTGCCCTGCTGTCTACCTCCGTAGCTAGATGGCCCATTTTACATGCTAAGATAAACATGACCCAAAATAACTTCACAGTGGAATTTGAGGGAGTTTTAATGATGAGAGTGGCTGTCCTTCCATTTAGGTGGTGAGCAAAGTGGCATAGGGCTGAGAATAAGTTGATCTACAAAGATGGAAGCTGATTTTTTTCAATAATGGATAAATAATATCAATAATATTTTATGTTAAGTATAGTAATGAAGTTTTTATTTATATCCTAACATTGAAATGTTGTCTCTGAATGTGATTCTAAACAGAAATGGAAATACTTATGCACATTTTTCATGCTGGTGTCTGGGAAAATTCTCATGACTCCAAAAAACAGATGTTGAGTGGAGGGTGAGATATTTTGTCCAAAATGAAAAAACAAATTAATTTAGCATAATTCCTTGATGTTCAGGTTGGATGACCATCTGTCATTTTCTGCAATAGCCAGACATGGAAGGAAAGTGCAGTAAAAACAAAAACACAACAAAAAAAACCCCACCACTATTAATATTCCTATTATTACATGTACAAGAAAAATGTTTTCTACTGTTTTTTTTCTGACATTTCACTCAGTATATGGTTGTTTGTTAGAAACTGTAGTAAAAAAATCATTTAGCAGTAGACATGGCAAGTAAGCATTCAGATGTGAGAACTGAGTATATATCCTTGAGGTCCTCATTGGACCCCTCTCCCTGTTCTCATTTTGTAGCCAAAAGGATGATCTCTCAAGCCTGACTGCTTGTTTGAGTAGTTTGCATTAATAATCTATGTGTTTATTCCAATTAGAGTCCTGAACAATTGCCAAGGGAAAGGCAGATTTTTTTTAGAGGCAAGGAAACGATTTGGTGTCTTATAAATATCCTGGGCACATCCAGGGTAAAAAGTCTTTTTGAGGCCTCAATAGATTTGTGTTTTGTTACACAACAGTGGAACTTCATTAACTTAATCACAGATTCAGCTGAAGGCTATATCGACAGCGTTTATGAAAAAGGAACTGGCAGAGCAATCCAATGGTGCATTTAAGATTGCAGGGGATTTTGTATTCTGATTGGAGGAGCTGGTTTTGCGCATTTGGGAATAACTTTTTAAATACAGTTTACAGGCAGTATTTAATCAATTGTAAACCATTCATTAACGTAGCTCTGGTAATATCTTTACCTACTATAGTTGGTGACTGTCTTGTCATTGTTGATATTTAAAAGTTAGCAGCTGAAGCTGACATTCCTTAACAGTTGTTATCCACATCCATAATTTTGTGCTATGCTTAATCATGTGCATTTTTTAAAAGAAAGCAGATTATATTCATGTCTATTTCTCCTGTTTCTGATTCCACACCCCCCCCCCAAATGAGTCCATTGTATTATTTCCCCTCTTTGCACTACATAGCTTTAATTGATTCCTTTTAATCATCATTTCATTTGGCAGTCAGGAACTAAATTGAACTATAAATTATCATGGGAATAGGATTTTTTTTTTTTAAAACATAGCTATGTCTTGTTTGGTATTCCTCAAAAATGCTAGAACACGTTTTTAGGTGGAACAGTGTGTAATGATGTGTGATTTCCTTCAGGAAATTTCACATTGCCAATTTCACTTTGGAAGTGTTGTTGGAAAAAAATGGTTTTCAGCACTTGGTCTTTGTCCTTTGCCTGATTTCAGAAGCTTAGGGAGGTTTTGCTGCCCAAGCCCTGAACATAAGGTGTCCGAAAGAGGAATGAGTCCTTGAGTAGGGCCATCTAGTTTTTGATTTGCAGAGTTGATTTCTGACTGCATATCCCAACTATACCAACTATCTGATGACATCAGAACACTCAGAAAAGAGACCCTCAAACAAACACAATCTCAATGAAGTCTTCGTAGAGAAGAATGTGATGTAGAAGAATTTAGGAAGCAAAATATGTGTTCATGGTCTTATTTGTATAATTATCGGGCAGGGGAGATTGAGAAACTAGAGGGAACATATTTTAGATATTCTTGTATAAATCATCAGTGGTTCTTGCTAAAAAATCATCAACTCTGCTGGGCTCTTGCTGTTCAACTTCTTTGGAAATGACTTGCTTCAGAGACAAGTTGAAGTTTTGATTTATATCCTAACATTTGAATGTTGTCCAAATCCTAATTTGGTTCCATTACTGATGATCTATGCCATGGGGGCAACTGTAAAGCATGGAAAAATGTGAACTGACATATTTTTCCATAGTGACAGTAGCAGTTTCTCACCTCATTTAATTTTTATATCCTGTGTATGGTTTTTGTTGTTGTTGTTGTTGTTGTTATTACTATTATTTCTGTTAGGGATAATATCCATTTTAGAAAAGTTGTATAGTATCATGACAGGGTAAATAGACCTGAGGCATTGACTCAGGAGAAAAAAAGGTTTTGACCCCAGTGTGTAATCAGTCTTGTGATCTCAGAAAATTACATAAACTCTCTGAGCCTCAGTTTCCTAATTTGGACATGAAAATAACAATGCCAACTTCATGAAATTGGGAAAATTATTAAATGAAGAAATGAATGCTAAGCAGCTAACAGAGTCCTTGGCAAATGTGGGTTGTTCAATAAATGTTAGTTTCTTTCCTTTTGCTTTCTGTTCTTAGATGAAAAGTGAATAAAAATAAGTTATTTTTTTAAGTTTATTTATTTATGGGGGGGTGCGAGGACAAAAAGAGAGGGAGAAAGAGAATCCCAAGCAGAATCCCAGTGCAGAGCCCTATGCAGGGCTCGAACCCACGAGCCATGAGATCATGACCTGAGCCAAAATCAAGAGTTGGACGCTTAACCTACTGAGCCACCCAGGCACCCCATAAGTTATTTTAAATTTAAGAGTTTAACATTTTTTGAAGACTGGCATTCACTCAGGTCATTGTCTCCCTTAGGGGAATATAATATTTGTCATAGTGTGATATTTGTAAGCCCTAGTTTACATATGGTGAAAAATGCAGGCCGGGTATTATCATAAACCCCAAGGAAATCTTCAAATATGTCTATTGTCCTGAAATTTTGTTGTGGTATTTTGCTTGAAATAAGTAGTCCATTATGGGGTTATCTGTGCTTAGCAGAGATTTTTGTTTTAGAGGTATTCTTATTTATAAATGGTTAGGACCTTCTTCTAGAAACCACTCCATAGCTGGTTAGGAATGACTTTGAATCCTGCAAGATGTAAAGCAGTGGAGTCTCAGGACATCCAGAGCATTTTGCGTGCTCCTGGCCTGCCTGCCTCTGAGGTCCCTTGATCTGTTCCGGTGCTAGGCCGTCATTGGCCTAGAAAGCAGCTGTCCATGGTACTTAGCTTCTTCTTAGACTTGGCATTATAATCTGACAGCAACTCAGCCCAGTTCTAATGAAGGGAATGGTCTAAATAAAGATGCCTAAAGCTGGATAGTTGAAGAGTAGGTTATTTAGTAACTTGGGTGTGCTTTACTCCTGAAAAGTGGTTCGTAAATAGAGTTTTTGCAGTTCCAATTGTTATTAATGTTCATTAGAAAAAGGGAATTGAAACGGTACTATAAATATTCCTCACAAGGTGAAGTATTTTTTATAAGATGCTAAACCATGGATGATTTTTATCAATACAAATGTGTAGGTCCAAGATTGATTATAGCACAGAATATATTATATATTCAACCTTGTTTCCCCTCCACACCTACTAAATAAATTGATAAAATTAATGGACAAACTTTACAGAGGTAAGAAAAGATATCCTTATAATAAATAACAGGATAGTATTACTTGGTAGACTTGGAAACCCTCTGTTCTTCTCACAAGAAAGAAAATTTAGGCATTAAAATTCTTAACCGGCCTAGATGTCTGTGAATGTGGTGTGTTTATCTGAGGATACAACATGGTGCTCTTTTTCTTGTTTCGTTTCCTTCTACTTATATAAAAAGCAAACCCTTCAGTTACTGCATGTGATTCAGAGAGTGAAAGGCATTTCGACAGACCCAGAAATCTCAGCAGATTTTAATACACAGAATTCAGATTGCTTTTGGCTTTTCATCCTTGCTGCTCTGATTTCTTCAGCAAGAGAAGACCTAAAGTTTGTGAATCCTGTGAAGACCTAAAGTTTTTGTTGAGAGCAAGGATTTACCACCACTTCCCTTCCTTTCTCTCTTTGCCCTTTATCCCTTTCTTCTCCCACCCCCCACCACCTCTCTTCCCCTTCTCTTTCCTTCTCTGCCTATCTGTCTTTCTCTTTTTGGTAGAACCAGATAATTTGTATTTGAACATTAACAAGGAATGGGATGGTTATGTTAAGCTATTCTTTTGCTGTTGAGGAGGCGAGTACATCTTTAGTGTGGCTTTGACTAGTTTTTTCATTCTTTAATTTCCAATCTTCTTTTGTTTTAAATAAGTCCCTAGTAAGCAGAATATAGCTATGTTTTATTTAATTCAGTTTGACA